GTCTTATCATTTTTCAAAACTTAAATCATGTCACATCTAATAAATTTATAGTCACGTGCAGTTACAGCAAAGAGTGGATACCAATAGCTGTTTAGGTCTTCTTCCTCCTCTTCCACTTCCTTTTTCTCATTATCATGATAGGTACAATATTCTAAAGATATTTATTCCACCAAGTATCAATAGAAACCCATCCTTAAGGAAATACATATTTAGTGGTAAAATGATAATTAGTACCTGCTTTCTTAAATTTCCTTTCAAGCCTCATTCTCTGCCAACATGTTGTATTTTCTGGGCTCAGTGAAATAGATTATGACAGGCAGAGAGTGAGAGAGCACAAGATTGGGAGGAAATGGAAGCTGTGGATGATGGGATAAAAATGGTCAGACAATGATGTACATGGAGTATAATTCAGTGTAGGCTCTTGGGGTCTGAACTTGTGGGTGTGAGTGAGAGAGCAGCCTAACTTGAACCCCTCACCATGTTGGTGTTCACGTCTGAATTCCTAGTAAAGGAGTATCACTTACATCATATAGTATCTGAACTATGAATATTTAACTCACAGCCATTACCTGAACATGCTACCTTAGTAGTTCTAATGATGAAGTTGTGTGTGTGTGCATGCATGTGTGTGTGTGTGTGTGTGTGTGTGTGTTACTTCATACACTAATTATGGGGAGATTTTTGTTAATCTGGAGATCAAGCTATAAATTGTAACATTGTTTCCAAGCTTTAAACAATAATTTTGGGGAAGTAACAAGATTGTGAGTAGGGGACAGTCTGTTTTACTTGGAGAGAATGGAGGGTCAGTGCAGTTTTCTGTGGAATGGTGTGGAAAGGCACCAAGAATTCCCCAGGTGTGTCATTTCTTTGAAAAAGATGAGTTGAAATAGCTGGAGATTCATATTAAACCCAGCACACATAAAGACACTCAAAGTTTGCACACTTTATTCACCTTTTCATAAAGGAAATGGATATGTACTAACTGCATGTCTCCTCTTTCTCACAGCCTTCATTTTCCTTCTCTCTGCCTTCCCCAGGTTATATTAAGCTTAATTATAGGTTCACTAGATGTTGTAGATTTCTAAAGTCTGAAAGAAAAATAGACTTTCTGATCGACCCAGACACTGCTGAGTGCATTTCGACAATGAGGCAGGAAGGAAGGGAAGGAGGGAGGGCGAGCCAGCCATTGGTAGGCAAGAAGAGACATACACTGTATACTCTATTAGAAATTTATCATTTAGTGGGAAGGCAGTAGAAAGCACAAGAAAAGCCAACACAAGGAAGGTACATTGTTCTGTGTGGCAGTAAGTTGCTGTTGCTTTTGGTTCATCTTCCACTGTAATGACAGCACACTCATTTCTGGTGTGTCCCCCTTGGAAGAAAACCAGCATTCACATTACAAAACTAGATCTTGCTCTTTTTAAAAAAAGACATTAAAGTGTTCATTTCAATACCCTTAAGTGTTCTGTTTTTCAGAACTTTTTTTTCATTGAATGGGTTGGATTTAAAGGTAAAGCAAAAGAGCCATTGCTAACTGAAAGCTGACTGTAAATACAATCAGGCATCATCAGTTTAACCTAGTGAGGATACAGGACTGGTTATTGGGCATTCAATGCATGCAAGTCTTTCTAGCAATGTACCAGGCTGCCTTAACTGACAGGTGACCAGCCTGTCCTAGAGGGAGGCAGCTGATTTCTTGGAAGAAGTGATAAAAATATGTTTAATATTCACTACTCTGACTTGCTTGTGTCTGGCTTTCTTTTTTGAATTTTCTGTTTTGGAATAATTTCATATTTGACCAAAAGTTGCAAAAATAATGAACTTTTTTTCCGGAGCTTGACTGCTTGAGTGTGTTATTCCTACAAATAAGGAAATTCTCCTACATAATTATAATGCAATCATCAAAATAAGGAAATTAACATTGATACATTACTACCATCTAATTCTCAAATGTCATTCAAGTTCTGACAATCAAATGATCTTTGTTATAACAAAGGATCCAATTCAGGGCCACCTGTTGCTTTAGTTTGTCATATCACTTTAGTTTCTTCATTCAGAATAATTCCTTAATCTTTCCTTGACTTTTATAACTTTGATACTTTTGAGTATCACATTCTGATTATATTGTAGAATGTGCTTCAGTTTGTATTTATCAGATATTTCCTCCTGCTTTTTCATTGTAAAATTGCTTCTCTTTGTAGTTAATAAGAATTTTATGTAGAGGTACTCTGAAACTTTGCAAATTTGCCATTTCTTACCAATCTTTCACCCATGAGTTTTAACATTTACAGATGTTTCTTGGATGAGTTGATTATTACTATGCTAGTTGCTAAGTGGTAATTTTTCTAATTCCATCATTTCTCCCTTTATTAGTTGGTATTTTACTGTAAGGAAAAGCTTTCTCTCCTATTTATGTTTTTGTATTAGTATAGACTTATGTATCAGATTCTTATCTTACTCAGTTATAGTAAACTATTACTATCATTGTTTATTTTGATAAGTAAATGGCCACAAATGTGACAGGAGGGGGGTGCCTTCAAGCTGACTTCTGTGCCTCTGTGACTGATCCCTGTCATCCTGGGATGTCTTTCATGCGTCAGCTCTGCTGGGCTCAGCGGAAAGGGGGCTCTTTCCTAGAGTCTGAAGACCTGGGTAGCAGCCTTCTTGGCTTCTTTCATTCCTTGTTGGGCATTGCTGGGAGAGTAGCCCTTCTACTCCAAGGCTTAAAATGGAGATGATCAATACCTGTAATATCTGTACTGGCTGAGTTGAATCTGTACAAAGGAATCATGATATCAATTCTTATTAGTTATGAAATTTAGTATTCATAAAGATTTCACTGCATTTGAAAACAATCTAGGGTCTGATGTTTCTGGGTCTGTATGAGGATTGCTGGGGACACTGTAGAAAATCTAAAATCAAATGAATTATTCGTAGGCAATTACTTATAAAAGCTAAAATTATAAAAGAACCATGAAAACTTTTAAAGTAAAGATGACATTTAATGTGGGATGAACATGCATTTTAAGATGTTTAAAATGACATGAAGTAGGGATGCCAAATCAAGAGAGTTGAGGGTTCACAAAGGACCTAGGCCAGCCAGACCAGCTAGGTAGTGAGCTCCTGTTCCTGGTGTGTTAATGTGGGCTATGCCACACAGGCCGGACAGCTGGAGTTGTGTGGAAAAGTAAGCTCCTTCCTGTACTGGGTGGTGGGGAAGGAATCAACCTCTAGTTTGTGACCTTGGGCAGATTGCAACCCTCTTTGGGCTTCAGAGTCTTTATGAGAACAAAACAAAATTCCCCCTCAATGTGCAAAAATCCTTTAAGCTCTCTTATACCTCTAAAAACTGTCTGTAGATGTTGGGTTACATGATCTCTCCACCCTCAAGACTCTAAAATTCTATGTACTGTCCCTTGAGCTTTGATTCCAGGAGCTACTTATTTTCAGCATCAGTTTCTGCATAGCCCATAATCAAGGATTCAACCTCTCTCACTGCTGGTGTCTCCTCTAGAGAGGAAGTAGACCAGTCAGGTTTTGTGAGCTGGCAGTTTCCCCCCTTTACATAATTGAGGCCTTGCCCTAGGGACTGGGTAGTGAGAAAGAGAGGCTTTCTTCTGCATCCATTAGTATACTGGTGTATACTTTTTGCCTTTAAGAATTATATAAAAGGGAGGAACTTGTGAAGAAAAGGTTATTTGCTAAGGTGGAGTATTAGTTTTCTATGTTTGCTATAACAAATTACCACAAGATGGAGGGCTTAAAACAATAGGAATTTATTTTCTCATAGTTTTGGAGGCTAGAAGTCTGATATCAGGGTGTCTGGAGAACTGCAGGGTCCCCCTAAAAACTCAAGGTGAGAATATTCCCTTGCCTCTTCTAACTTCTGGGGGCTCCAGGTGGTCTTTGGTGAGTGGCTGCATCACTCCAGTTTCTGCCTCTGTCTTCCCTTCATCTTTACAGATTGGATTTAGAGTGCACTCAGGTAATCCAGGATCATCTAGGTCCATACTTAATTACATCTGCAAAGATCTGAAGTTAGGATGTAGATACATCTTTTGGGAGGCTTTCACTGGATCCCCTTCAGGTGGCATGGCTGATGGGCTGCTGGCTCTTTGCTGAGCTCTCGAGCACTTGAGTGATGGATCAGGGGCGCAGTGAACTGAGACGCGGGAGAAGGATGGAAAGAGTGCAAAGTGCATGCATGGCTCTGCTGACACCGGCTGGTGGTGTCATCAGCAGCCGTGCAGGTTAGTGAGGGCCATTCTGAGCACCTGTCCCTCTTCCTTTCCAAAGCAGGATGCTGTGTCAGTAAGCTAGCCTGACTCTGCTGTAGCTACAAATGACTCCAAAATCTCATTGGCTCACACACCAAACTTTTTCCTGCACTTGCTTCAGGTTTATGACAGGTTGACAGCAGGACTGCTCCAGGCCACCTTCACTCTGGGACCAGGCTGGTGGAGTGGTGGATTTGGAATATGAGCAGTCCTGTGGCAGAGGGAGAAGAGTGCATGGTAAACCTTGAACTGGTTTTTAAATCTTCTGCCTGGAAGTAACAGGTGTTGCTTCTGTTCATTTTACTGGCCAGGCAAATGACATGGCCAACTTTGATGTCAATGAGGAGGAGGAAGTTATTTTTTTCTCAGTGAATATTTATGAACCACAGTCAGGTAGGCTAAGGGTGCTGCAGGAGGAGCCCCTCTGTCTGTTGAGAACCTCCACATAGGGAAGGCTGCTTGTCATCCAGGCTTTTGCAAAACTCTGAGCACTCACATCTCCAAGGACTATGCTGTCTGCATGTCCTGACTACAGCTTGCTCTTTATCCCTCCTCATTCCCCATCTCCCAGGACAAAAGAGTTGAGTTACAGTTTCATTCCATTGTCTGGAAGAGCTGCTGCTGGACTGTGCTTCCTTGACATAATCTAGATTGAGTGCATAAAGCATGGCTATTTTCACAACAGCCATATGAAGAACACGTTGCTCCTTCCTCTGTTTGCAGAAGTTCTGAGAAATGGTCAAGGACTTGGCCCTGCAGCCACAGATGAAATCACCTGTGGATCCCAAAAGTTTTCAACAATGAAGGCAGAAGAGGCCTTGGGAAGGCAGAGTGCTGCTTCCATGAATCTAGTGGGCCACAGATGGACTGCCAGGGCTCTATAAACTCTCTAAATTGTAAGTAGAGTTGTGTGAGAGTACATGTTCAGTGCATGTGTATTTTCTGGGGCCAGGAACTATAGCTTATGTCTGATTCTCAAAGAATCTGAGAACTCATGAAGATTAACAACTATGGAATCTAAACCAGTCCCTTCATCATACAGGTGATATAGAAATAGAGGTTTGGTTTCTTGCACCAAATGGACTGACTCTCTGTAATATATTAGCTGATAACTTCATCAAAAGCTTTCCCCCTAAACTTTGGTTTTGTTTCAATAAGTTAATTTCTGTAATATCACAACCTACTCTAGGAGAAAGGAAGACTCTTCTGAAGGTCACATTAATTCTTAAAGTCACAAGGGCGACATTTGGTACATTCCTACCCCACCAGTTATCACCCTTTGAATGCAGGCCACCTCCAGCCTTCGCTTTGGTCTCTGTGGGGACTCATGTTTCTAACAGGCAAGTATAAAGACTTACAGTGCTGGTGTCCCAGAAGGATTTGCTTAGGGAGTTTCACAGACAGGGCTGCTGCTGTCTTGTAAGGGAATTTACATCTCACAAAGTAGGATAGGGGATGACTATGGCAGCCAGTGGTAATAGGATGCATCAATATTACTATCATCAAAATGCATCAAAATGGCTATCAGGCATAGAACCAATGTGTGTTAATAGCACAGGTCTATTTATCCTCCTCCTCCTCCTGCGTGAAGCTGGTTGGAGATGTGTAGTATTTCCTTCTTACAGATGAGGAAACAGAGCACCAGTATTTTATTAGCCTCTGGAGCAAAGATTCCTAACAGGGTCTTCCTATGGGGCCTCAGGGCTCTGTGAACCCCTGAAATGATCTGCAAAGACAAGTATATATTTGCGTGTGCATTCAATTGGGTGGGGGGCATGTGAATCTCATCAAATTCTACAAAATTCTGTGATTGCAAATGGTACAGACCCAATACCCCAGCCAGAGCTTCTCTTCCTGTAAAATAATTGAATTGGCAGATTAGCTCAATCTTGACGCTCAGCTGTACCTGTTTTGACTATTCTCTGCTTTCTGGTTGTTGACCCCCACAATAGCAGACAGAACGGAAAGTAAGAACAATGTGGAGGAGTCACTTTTAGATGTTTCCCTTACCTAACTCTGTTCTGGACAACTTAAAATCTTGCTTCTACTCATGACAGTCCATATGTGTTAACAGTTCCAGTAAGACAGAGCAGAAAGAAACCTTAAAAGTCCATTGGGAAAAATGAGGCCTGTAATGTCCATCACACATTCACACAATAAATCAGTGATTGAGTTAGCGTTCGTTCCTTTCTGAGAAATCAATGCCAGTCTTAGCTGCAAACCTCTTGCCAACCTTTCTTAACAAATGACAATTCAGGATGACTCATTTTTCTTGACATTATGCAAATGAGGGAAGCAAGACTGAGTGGCTTTCTGTCCAAAGAGCAGGAAATGAAGCCTGTCTGGGGCCACACATTCCCTTGGGACATGTTATAGTGTCTGAAATGGGTTCTGGAAGAAGCAGGTCTTTGTCCAAGTCTGTTACATAAGTGAGCTCCTCCTCTTGGCTGTGGCTGGAGGGGCGGCTCCGAACACCCATTTCCCGGGAACACTACACCAAAGAGCAATTGACTCCCATCTGCTATCTCTAGAGCTGCCGTCAGAGGCTCCTTTCCTCTCCAGCCTCGCTTTCCACTGAGGGAAACATTTATTCTTCTGGATTAGGTGTTCTGAGCCAGCTGGTCCCATCCATATGAAGCAGAATCATAGTCATAGTAGGCCCCTTACACTTGGGGCCTGAGAAGCACTGAGCTAATACTATTCAGTTTGCTGGATTTTGAAATGTCTTTTTACCTCAAAGGCAGACTTCATTCTGGCTGAAGGGACCCTGGATCCCTGTAACCTCTGTGAGGGGTAGGGTCTGGTGTTAATCTCACTAATGAAGAGAAAGTTACAAAAACTGGCCATGCCCCAGTTTCTTTCAAGGGCATGGTAACTGTTTCTTCAGAGGGGCCACTGATAAGACACCTCAGAAATGCAGTGATTTAAAAGAAGGATGCTATTTCCTACACAGTAGGAAAGCTGGAGGATCCTTTTAGATATTATTCATCCATGAGACAGACAGATGAGGAAACGGAGGGCAGGAGAGAGGCAGTAGTTGCCCGAGGCCCAGAGTCAGGTGGGAGCAGAGCTGGGTGAGAAGCCTCTGTGAGGTTCGTGTTTTGGGCTGTTCTACACAACTCTGCCTTTCTCTACTCCTTCATCCTCCTGGCGTCCTCAAACTTCAGTCTCCAAATCAATTTATTTGGGGGCCCCTGAGTCAAAATTTCAAGAACCAAAGAATGCAGATCATGTGATCTTCCAAATAACATTTAAGGTACATTTGCTCACACTATTATTTAAGTGGAGAGGGGTCCCTCCCTCCCTCCCTTTGCAGAGTATTGCCTGTTCCCTCCGCCTCTAAACACGCCGGGTGCAGCCAAGCCCAGGGCCCAGGGCTCCTGGTGTGACTTGGCAGCAATAAGCTATCCATCCACACATGTTTGGGGCTACTTTTGTGGGCACCAGTTCTCATCACCTGCCACTGGAGACTTTTAAGTCACCCTTGTTTCCCTTACCTAACTCTGTTCTGGACAACTTAAAATCTTGCTTCTACTCATGACAGTCCATATGTGTTAACAGTTCCAGTAAGACAGAGCAGAAAGAAACCTTAAAAGTCCATTGGGAAAAATGAGGCCTGGAATGTCCATCACACATTCACACAATAAATCAGTGATTGAGTTAGCGTTCGTTCCTTTCTGAGAAATCAATGCCAGTCTTAGCTGCAAACCTCTTGCCAACCTTTCTTAACAAATGACAATTCAGGATGACTCATTTTTCTTGACATTATGCAAATGAGGGAAGCAAGACTGAGTGGCTTTCTGTCCAAAGAGCAGGAAATGAAGCCTGTCTGGGGCCACACATTCCCTTGGGACATGTTATAGTGTCTGAAATGGGTTCTGGAAGAAGCAGGTCTTTGTCCAAGTCTGTTACATAAGTGAGCTCCTCCTCTTGGCTGTGGCTGGAGGGGCGGCTCCGAACACCCATTTCCCGGGAACACTACACCAAAGAGCAATTGACTCCCATCTGCTATCTCTAGAGCTGCCGTCAGAGGCTCCTTTCCTCTCCAGCCTCGCTTTCCACTGAGGGAAACATTTATTCTTCTGGATTAGGTGTTCTGAGCCAGCTGGTCCCATCCATATGAAGCAGAATCATAGTCATAGTAGGCCCCTTACACTTGGGGCCTGAGAAGCACTGAGCTAATACTATTCAGTTTGCTGGATTTTGAAATGTCTTTTTACCTCAAAGGCAGACTTCATTCTGGCTGAAGGGACCCTGGATCCCTGTAACCTCTGTGAGGGGTAGGGTCTGGTGTTAATCTCACTAATGAAGAGAAAGTTACAAAAACTGGCCATGCCCCAGTTTCTTTCAAGGGCATGGTAACTGTTTCTTCAGAGGGGCCACTGATAAGACACCTCAGAAATGCAGTGATTTAAAAGAAGGATGCTATTTCCTACACAGTAGGAAAGCTGGAGGATCCTTTTAGATATTATTCATCCATGAGACAGACAGATGAGGAAACGGAGGGCAGGAGAGAGGCAGTAGTTGCCCGAGGCCCAGAGTCAGGTGGGAGCAGAGCTGGGTGAGAAGCCTCTGTGAGGTTCGTGTTTTGGGCTGTTCTACACAACTCTGCCTTTCTCTACTCCTTCATCCTCCTGGCGTCCTCAAACTTCAGTCTCCAAATCAATTTATTTGGGGGCCCCTGAGTCAAAATTTCAAGAACCAAAGAATGCAGATCATGTGATCTTCCAAATAACATTTAAGGTACATTTGCTCACACTATTATTTAAGTGGAGAGGGTTCCCTCCGCCTCTAAACACGCCGGGTGCAGCCAAGCCCAGGGCCCAGGGCTCCTGGTGTGACTTGGCAGCAATAAGCTATCCATCCACACATGTTTGGGGCTACTTTTGTGGGCACCAGTTCTCATCACCTGCCACTGGAGACTTTTAAGTCACCCCTCCCCACCCGGCTCTAGCGCCTGGCCTCCCGGTTGAGCAGGAGCCAGAGGGGATTTGCGATAAGGAAGCCACAGGCACAGGCCCAAGGTAGGCCTGAGGAGCTTGACCTGAGGCAAGAGGGTAACCGGGGAGAGCACACTCTATGCCCCAGCCAGGAGGGGTGGCCCGGCAGCCAGAAGGAAAACTCCTGGGCTTTTTATTGAATCCATGAAACAAAAGGTGAGGGGGTGCTGGGAAGGGGAAGAATTTATGATTATTTATGGCGTTGGTCTGGAGAGGCGGAGAGCATGGAACTCTTTCCAACTTGGCGGGTGATTCATTCCCTCGGGAGCTGCAGGGCCCAGGCGTGCGTGCGCGCCGGCAGCCTGGGGCCAGCCGCACACTCCGCTGTCGTTTATTTATGGTGGTTTATCAGCCGCTGTGCACAGCGATAAAGTTTATGAAAAGAGGCGGCGTCTCCGGCAGGCGGGCGGACCCGCGCTCCTTTCCCACACTGATTAGGATCAGCCTGGGCTTTGCAAGCTGCAGTTAAGGATCTCGGGGCCGGAGCCGCGTCTCCCCCTTCCTGCCCCGCCCGCCGGCTGGCCGGCTGCTGCCCTGCGTGGGAGTCGAGGTCAGGGTCGCGGTAGTCCCAGAGGGGCAGGGGTTAGGGGAGGGGAGACCCCGGGAGGACGGCCAGCCCGGGGAAGCTGGCAAGGAAGAGGGCAGTTACCATTCAAATAAAAATGCGTAGTCCCCATGCGGAGAGATGGCGGAGAGGTCATAGGAATTTCCTCCTCTGTAACTGTGGCAAATTCTCATCCCCTGCATTTACTTTTCAACATTCCTTTCCCATAATTTCACCTACATTACTTTGTCTTTGCATTTGGACTTGACTCATTGTTCTTTTCGTGACCGCGTTTGGTTGGTCCCTTCAGACGACAGTAATTGGACCCCTACTTTGCCGGACACCTCTAAGCACCGCAGAAAGAGCGAGAGCGATTCAGAGGTGAAGAGGGGGCCCTGGTCCTCAAGGTTCTGATGTTCACAGAGGCCGCCAGCCAAGTGGAGGGCCTTCAGCCCAGGGCTGTAAGCAGCCCAGAGCACACACTGAGGTGGGGCCTGCTCTGCTGCACCAACTTGTCCCATCTTCACAGCTACCTTAGGAGGAATGTGCCATTGTTATGTCATTTTACAGATGGTGAAACTGAGGCCCAGAGAGGGTAAGTGACTCGCCTGAGATGACTCAGAAAGTCAAAGGCTGAGCCAGGATTTGAACCCAAGCAGAATGGCCCTAGAACCTGTGCATATCCTCTAAATTTTCCTGACTCTCTAGAACAGTGAGCAGTGGGAGGGCAGCAGCCAGGACAACTAACTAATCCTGCTTGGGAAAGTCGGAGTGGGTTTCTGGGGGAGGGGCTGTTATTAGGGATGGGGCTTGAAGAGAAGGTGTTGACAAGACAGACATGATGGTAGAGAAAGGCAGTTTTACACAGAAAGAACTAATGTGGCCTCGGGTTCTCAGGACCAGCACCTTTCACCTTCCATTTTGTGTTCCTTGTCCCAGGAATGGGAGAGCGCAAGTGCAGAGCCTTTCCGTGCAGGCCCCCCTTCCAGTGCAGGCCCCCCCTTCCCAGCCACAGCCTTGATCTGGAAGGCTCTGTCTTCAGCTACTGAAATCCCAGGAGCTCCCAGGTCTTCACAATGTCATCCCCTCCTAAAAGCTTTCCTGGGCTGTTCCTTATCTCCCTGCTGATGACTGAAAGCAATCCTTTCTTCTTTGTTCCTCCCTCACACTTACCTATATGCAGTAAATCTCCTCGGTTTGGGCTCCATCTGTTTTTATTACTAGATCACGAGCTCCCAGAGGGCACTGGTCTGTTCGTTTCCACTTTACCTACTTCTTCCCCAGGCCTGGTTTAAGCTCCCACACAAAGGAGGTTCTTAGTACCGGCATGTGGTGAGTAAGGGGAAGAGTAGGGACGCTGCTGATCTCAGAGATACCTGCTATCCCTCAATGGATTTCATAAGCAAGCAATGTAAAAATGAAGATGATGTGTATCCCCACCATTGGACGTCTGGACCACCCTCTGCCAAGAGAGCACAAAGGCAGTGTCACCCAAGCCTGGAGTGTCTTGAAGTCCCTGCAGACTGGGAGCAGGATTAGTCCTGGGACCTTGGGCATAGCAGGAAGTCTTGTTGCCCCAGTTATGGGGAAAGGGCTACAACGCCAGGAGCCAGGCAGGTCATTGCATGATCCTTCACGCTTTCAGTGAGGCATTCCACTGGGCCAGTGGCACTGTGTGGACGGACATTTGACTCCATAGCATATGGTATCAACTATGAGCACCTGTCAGCACCACTGATCAGGTCAGAACTGTGTCTTGTTCTTTGCTGTATTTTTATTTGTTCAGAATTAGCCTTTTAAAAATTTAATTGGAAAAGTAATACATGCACATGATTTAAAAATTAAAATGATTCAAAAGGGTATACAATGAAAGTTGTGCCTCCAATCATCAACTCCCTAACTCATCATTTCCCTCCCCAGGAGCAACCATCATTGAGTTTCTTTCCCAGAGATGCCATATGTACACATGCACAATATTTTTGTAACTCTTGTGGTGACCTAATAAGGTTGCTGTGAACATACTCAACACATTTGTGGGTGATGGTGACATTGTTAAGGTTCAGTGAACTTGAGAGCTGGAGAACTTGCACATTCTGAATGATGTTTAGTAATAAAAACTGTGTAGTGATAAAATCTGGATATGTCAAATACTACCTGGTGAAAGATTGGTCTGGTCAAGGGTAGTGGAAAAAGGATCTAAGGAGACATGGTTGGCCGCAGACTCAATATGGATAGCAAATATTAGGACATTTTGGCAAACACCAGTATGCTTTCAGGGTGTATCATAAGGAATATAGCTAATGGCGATCAGCAAATTATTTACTGGATTGGACTCTCATTAAAGTATTTGTAAATGTCCTGTCATTTGTTGGTTACTCTGCTATACATTGGTAAGAGGAAGACTCACTGAGATAAATAAAGTAACTTTTCATTGAATAACGAGGACCAAAATGCACTCCTATAACATTAAAATAAAAGATACCCTCAATAGACTCCTTGTCTAAGTAGTGTCATCTAATCTAAAGATGGAAAGGAGAAAAGGTGACTTAATTATTCAAGTGCTTGGCAAAGTAAGCTGAGTGCCCCAGGTCTCACTGCCTGAGGACAGATGACTTCTTTGTGGTCCCATACCCTAAGGTTGCCCACAGGGAAGGATTTCCAGCCCTATCCAAGTAGTCCCAGAAGTCTTTGGGACCTCTTCCTGCTGGCTGCTTGGCTCCTGCTGGGCACCTCCAGGGACACTGGAGCCAGAGCTCTGGGGAGTGAGGAAGGTTCTTTGCTCTTCACCTTTCCTGTGTGATGCTCCCATGTGCTAAGCTCTGCTGTCTGCTCAGATTTCCTGCAAAACTTCAACATAGTGGTCTTGGTTTTTCCATATGGTCCTGCTGCTCTTGATGTCCAATACATGTTTGGCCAAGGGATTCTCAGAATTAATTACTCTTGTCCAGTGAACAGGGCTGTCCTTCTGGGTCAACCTAGGTCTCTTGGTCTCCTTTCCCACAGAATGAGCTCCCTCCCAGGAGGCTCCCGGCATCTCAGGCAGTTGTCAGACATGCTCAGACATGTTAGAACTCCAGCTCAGGTTCACACTAGGACCTCAGTTCCCCCTAATAATAACTAGCAATCTTTGATGAAAGATTCTGATGAATTGTTGTATAAAGGAAGGCCAAACAAGAGGCCGTGAATATAAACAGTAGCACAAAGCGTTTTCATGAGCGCAAAGGAAGGATTTCTTGCATCAGGATGATAACAAGGAATGTTCTTTTTCTTCCTAGGGAAAAGCCAATGAATGGTCTTTCTCGAACATTCAGGAATAGGAGTCCTTGTTCTCCCCAAGCTGAGCCCTTGATATTCCTGAGGTGGACTGAGATGTTCCACCTTTAAAATCGAATAGTAGTGGCCTGTTCCCCAATTCAGGTAATGTAATTTTTCCATGTAAATTTTTTCTACACATTTTTCTTAAGTCTTAAACCTTTTGCACCTGCAGGCAACAAAACTAATGAACAAGTAGTAAACAGATATGAACTGGAAAGCTTGAAAACCACCAATCATGCTGAGTTGCTTTTTTCAGAGAACACGTGTGCTTGTGGTTTTATACTGCCTGCCCATAATGTAGCTGTTTTTTCTGCTATTAAAATTATTCCTAGTTCATGGATGGAATGAAACAGACCATTATTCCAGGGTTTTCCCGGAAGAGCCTCATGTTTCAGGAAGCACACCACGACTTTTTGTTCTCTTCCACCTTAGTACACTTGAGCTATTGTGGACTCTTGAGTATTAGTTCCCTTTCTCCCTTCTCCCCTCCCTCTGCTGTTTCCCTTCATGGCCCAGACTGCCTCCCAACTTCTGCCAGGCTAAAGATAACCTCTCCTTCTGGGATATCACCCACAGGCTAAATTTACTCTCAGGGGTGAGTTGGGGCTACCCTGACCAGAGATTCCAGGCAAGCATTTCAGCACCTGCAGCTCTGCAATGTTTTAAAAAATGATGGAAGGAGATTGGGAAGGAGGAGGAAGGAGAGATGGGAGAGGGTGGGAAGGAAGGACTCAGAGAGAGATCAACAGAAAGCTGGCAAAGGGGCATCAGGGATAGGACACACTGGGACAACAGCTTAAGCTGAGTTAGTCTGAGGGATTTGACTGCCCCCAGGAAAGATTCCTATTTTGTCAGTTATAATGTTACTGTAATACAACCCCCAGAGGGAAAAGCCCAGGCTAATCAGGGCTCAAGAAGTCAGTGGACTTGATGTACAGAATGGGATATTTAATTTTATGATGTGGCTATGGGTTACGTGAGAGACTAATAAAAGAACTCCATAAAATGTGGCTTGTAGCAATGGGGTTGCAGCCTCTGCCAGAGGGTCACCCTGCTCAGAAGTGGTTTTAGAGCGTGGCTGGTATCAAGCTGGTATGCACGAGGATGATCATGATGGTTCTGAAACTGTTGAAAGCCTTCTGTGCCAGTTGTGAAAGAGCTGCTGCTTTTAGCTTCCTAGGTACTCCCCTGGCTTCACTGGCTGCCCACCCCTTCTCCAGGGCCTCCCCAGGATCCAGCAGCCAAATGCAGAGAGCCTGCAGATCCTGTTCTACACCATGGCTCCATATCACATTGTTTCTCAGTGGCAGGTGCTCATACAGTGTTGCTTGTGAAATACTTACAATGTCACCAGTCTTACAGCATGTTTTCCCAGGGATTGGGGCTGTCAGATGCCTGTGGAAAGGACCAGGAATTCAGTTCCTTAACACTGTCCTGCACAGATCCCAGGCCAGTCCAGGGTGCCCAAAGGAGGCTTTCTTAAATATTGCCTGTTTCTCCCCTGGTTGCTGCAAGGAGACACCCTGCCATTCCTTGAATCATATTTGGCTGTCTCAAAGGGGAGTTTTAATAAGCATAGGAATGATTTCAGGGTTAAAGAATATTTTTGAAAGAAAGAGACAAGTTCCCATAAGTTTTCCCAACCAGGAATTGCAGTTGCCATAAAATTTGAATTGGAAGGATACGTAGGGAACATCTGGTCTCTTTTCACAGCCAGCATGGGACCCTTCTATATCAGCCCCTTCTAGATCATGTCTATTGACCGGAACTCAGCTCTCTGAAAGAAGCCTCCTGAATGTACCAACAGGAGCTGAAATCTTCCTAAACAAATCGAAGTGTGAATCCTTTTTGTTGAGCTGAAATCTTCATATATATCTCAAAGTGTGGTCCCTCACTTAGGTGGAATTGCTAGTCCAAAGATAGCCCCAAAGCAAGAAATGCCATCTCACATGTCTTGTACAAGTGAGCTGAGAGGTCATGCAATCACTCACACATTCAACCAGCATTCACCGAGTGGCCGCTAAGTGTCAGATATTGTGCCTAGCACTGAAGATTCAGCAGTAACCCGGGAATGGTTTTGCTCTGAGAGACTGTCTAGTCCGCTGGGGCCAGGACTAGACAGCTAGGGAGACAAGGGGAGTCAAGGGTAGCTGAGCTTCTCTTCTGAACCCCATTTCAGGCCTGGGTCCGTCTTTGGTCCATTCTTCAGTAAGAAACTTCTGTTTTCCTTTGCCCCCACAGGTTGCTAATAGCCTGGCAAGTCCACGGAGAGCCTGGAGCTCTCAAGATCGGCTCTCATGTGCAGACACTGAGACAAAGAGGCCAGGGGCTATTTGCCATCTCCTTCCTCACACTCTCTGGAAATGCTTGTGAGCAGCAAACAACATTTTATGATGTACTTTGCTGCATTAACAATTGAACAGAATAATTCTGTTACCTCTCATAAACTAGAAATAGTAGACAATCTGGATAAAAAGAAAGACAATAAAAATCATTTATAAATTCATCATCTACAGATGACAATCTGGTGTTGTCCATGCAGACTTTTTTCCTCAGTGTATTTCGTATTTCTGTGGCTAGGGGAGATACATACATGCATACATACACGCACATAAGCATTTTGTCCTCTGCCTTTTTTACCCAGTTATTTTCTCAATGAGCACAATTTTAAAGTAAACCCAGTTATTCAAAAATATTTATTTCATTAATAAATACAACTTTGAGAGACATCCCCAAAGAAACCAGTAGAGAGCAAAGGGTGTAGTCATCTCAGAAGTAAATTAGGCTTTTGCCAGGGACAGCAAATCAAGTTTGTTCTTATTTATATGAAGAGATTGGGGGTGGAGTGGAGAATTCTGTAAGATGGTGCCCTTGGTCCCAGCTCCAAGCTAGTACTTCTGGTGAGGCCACCCCTGGGAATGACCAAGGCAGTGCCTGGAGTGGGGAACACAAGCATGGCTCTGTCAGAGACCTGGGGAAGGGGGCTAGAGCAAGGCTCTCTCCCCTTTAGCCAGAGAGCTGGGGATGAGGCTCTAGCTGTGGTGGGCCTGGGGCTACATCAGCATTCCTGAGTAGGTCTCCCTGTCCCACAGAGTTGCAGCTGAACCTGGGGGGACCGCAGAGCCGAAAGTCTTCCTTTCTCCTGGTGCCTTGATCATACTGACTACCTATATGTAACTATTTAAAGGACTGCCGTCACCTAAGGAACCCCCAGAAGCTGACCCTGAGCTTTTGATAAAGAAAACAGATAAAGGAAACTGTGCACTTAAGGGGGCTCAAGAGGCACAGAGAGGGAGAAGGGGAACTCAAAGAACAGCCCTTCAAGGGAATAAGTAACCCTGCTGGGATGGACAGCTGAAGCAGAAGTAACTAGGGCATTAACACACAGTGACCAAAAAAGAGGGAACCGAAACATATTTTTAACTGAAATACTCATTAGATGAATTAAAACAGAATTTTGACTTAGGGGATCAAGGGCAAGAATATCCCAAACATAGAACAAAAATACAAAGAGATGGAAATCATGAGGCCAAATTAAGAGACTAAGAATGCAGACCCGGGAGACCTCAAATGTCAATAATAGGAGTTCCAGGAGGAGAAAAATAAACAGAGAAAGGGGAGGGACTAATTAGACAAATGACAGAAGATAATTGTCCCTGAGTGAGAAAAGACCTGGATCTGAGATTTAAAAAGAAGAACTTGTGGGGTCAGCTCGGACTGAAAGCCACATACTTAAGCCCATCCAGATAAAATTCTTGCCCCGCAGGTGTAAAGAGAACCTCTTGCCCCTTCAGTACAAAGAGGAAAACATGAATTACAAAGGAAAGGAAAGAGGTGGGTGTCACATTTCACATGTATGATCATGGGAACTTGGAGATGTCTATAAAATACTAGAGCCACTCAGAATACTTCTTGATGGTCAGGATAAAAAATAAAAAGTATTACTAAACATCCGTCTGAGAAAAACACTCTGTAAAGAACCTTAAGTACATGAAACAATGAACTGAAACAGATGAACTTAAGATAGGAGAAGAAGAAAGAAGTTGGTGGTGGGCCTCTGTCTTTGTCTCTTTCTCCCTGTGCCCCTCTCTCTCCTCTGTTTCTGTCTCTCCTGTCTCTGTCCCTCTGTCTCTGTCTCTGTCTCTATCTCTCTCAGGAACTTGCAACAAAGGCCTCAGCTGAACCCAAGGGGGAACTTCGGAGCTGGTGTTTTCCTGAACTGGACCTTTTCCAGGGCAGCCCTGAGCAGTAGGTGCACAGAGGGTGCTCCTACCGAAGGGAGCAGACTAGGGTGTGGCAGTTTCCTTCAGCGTCAGGCAATTTCTGATTTCTGGAGAGGAAGAGAGACTTCATGGGAGCTGTGAGCAGCCAACAGACCTTCAGCTGCAGTCTGGGGCTTGGGGTGGATTGGGGCAGCACACCTAGCGTCCTCCACAAAGCGTGCATGGTGCCATGTATGTGAAATTATATGTATATACTATGTAGATGTAGGTGCCATGGCATGCTGGGAAATGTTTAATAATCAGGTCTTGGGGTTAGGGGATGGAGCTCTGGTTTGTAACTTCTGCTGGTTTTTGTGGTATAAATAATCCTATCATGGTTGATATCCATTTACCAAGGTGATATCACTGAACATAGCTGAGGTAAGATGCACACAACTGCCTCTCCTGAGCTGGTGCAAGGTGGCTCCTGGTGGGGAGGGGGCAGGGCAGGAGGAGCAGTCACAGCATCTGGGGGCTTGTTCAGGGGGAGTGCGCAGACACTGGAGTTTTCTCTCCATTGACCTGATTTGCTTTTTTGGTCACTTTTCTATCTGTCGTCCCACAGTCCCCTTCCCTTCCCATCCCCTCCCCATTCACCCCAGTAAGTTGTATTCTTTGCAGGTAGTATTCCAGAAGGAATCCCATGAACAATTTCTTGTCTTTGCTGAAGTCCCAGTGACTATCAGAATAATAGTGCTGTTTCTTGGTGGGTGGCTCTGAGAATGAAGGTGAGGGGGCATGGAGTGGCTGGCAAACCTCTGCAAAGGGCCAGTCGGTAAGTATGTTTGGCTTGCAGAATACATGGTCTCTGCTGCTACTAGGAATCCCCCCGCAGGACACAGCTTGCTGACCCCTCTGCCTATGATACCACTGGATCATAAACTCTACCTCTCTCAGTGTTAATTATGGCTATTTCACAGTGCCCAGAGGAAAGAACCCTTTGACTCTAAACATTCAGACCATGAATTCAGAGGAGAGGTTTAGGCTTGGGGAAGGTTTTGTTCTTCCACTGACTTTGTGAATATAGCTTACCTAGGAATATTTTTTAACTTTTCTTTCTCCAGCGTTAATAAAGGAAGGAAGAGAGAACCGCTGGATTAAAAAACAAAAGCCCCCCCAAGCCCCAAAATCCAATTTTACTAACAAACCCCTTTATTTATCAGGACCTGTTAATTCTGGATTTGGAAAAAGACACCTGAGAAGGAGGCAGGCGCTCACTACTGCATTTTCTCTGAAGAAAGATAAAGAGATTAACAGAGTAAGCCAGGTGGGGCAGGCAGAGCCTTTTGGAAATTAAACTCTTCTTCAGCTTTCTAGAAAGTGAATTACTTGAATGTTAATATGACATTCATGGGTTTTCTATTTATAAAAGTGGATCAGGTAGGACCTTTTGGGGGCAACATTTGGTGAACACCACAAGCTTGTTGGTATGGATTCTAAGCTACAGTTTTCCAAATACATTTGGGGCAAGTCTCTTTTCTCCTGGCTTCAAGTTTTTCATCTTAAAATGAATACTTTAGATTTCTTGGACAGCTTTATGAATTTCTTCAGCTTTTATGAATTTGTGTTGGTATATTCCTGAATTTCACTAAAACAATTAAGCTTGTCTACTAAAAGGAAATGGCTTGTCTCCTGACCACTTCTTGCCCTGTAACTTTACAAGGTTGACAGCATGGGAGGCCAATTCTATTTTGGTTTCCAGTTGTGTTGGAATGTGTATGTGCGTGCGTGTTTTTTGGTGATGAGAGAGTTATTTTCTAATAGAAAGTCCTTGCCTTATCATTACTGTGTTGATTATCATGTGACCAGGAAGCTCAGAACTGAACTGAGTGTCCAGACAAGCCCACCTTGGTATGTTGCGATTATCTTTCAGTAATTTTTCCTCTTTTCTGATTCACAGATTTCTGTGGGATTTGATGGAAGCAAAGAGGAGCCCCCCCAGGAAGCATTCATACCTGCCAACAAACCAAATGCACAGAATGGGGTTTGATCTTCCCTTCTGGAAATCTTCAACTACCACATTTGATGTTTTATATGACTTTCTGGCCCCCCAAATGCTGATGGACATAGGACTTCAATACACAGAGGAGAGGCTGACATGAGATGGATGGGTTTGTTTGTTTGCTTTAATACAGACAGAAGAGATAGTGCTTTCTGAGAAGAGTATTTCCCCAGGAATGTATCTCAGCTTCGTCCTGGAGAATAAGAGGAAAAGCCCTAGGCCGACTTGAAGCCTGGGTTTTATCACTAGCTACTGCTCAACTGGCAGCATCTCCTCTTGCTTCAGTGGGCCTCCATTTCCCTACCTGTACACTGAGCCTGCTACACAGGATGGTGGGAGATTAAGTGCAAGGCTCTGTGTTGAAGTGCTGGCTACACTCTAAAGTGTGGGGCTGATGAAGGGATCAGGTAGGACTTGGTCTTCAGGATCCACTGTAATCAGCCCTCAGATTAAAGCATGACCAAGGGATGGACATGCAGAGCCCATCGCCTTGCCTTATACATCAATTGCCACTTGCTAATGACCCGACAGCCCTGTGTCTCCATTTGCTTCTTGCTGCTCCAGAAAAAAGATAAACATTTAGGGAGGCTCCAACATGGCTTGAAAAGAGCATGCAGAAACCACCAGGCCAGTGAGGCCATGGGCCTTATGTCTGGGATGCCCCCGAGAAATGCCTGTATTTCCTTCCCTCCCCATCCTCCACACCTGCACACAGGTAGCCCCTCCTTTAAGCTCCAGTGCAGATACCAGCCCCTCTATGGACCCTTCCTTGACTGTTTTTTTCTCTTCCTCAGGCCACAGGATTCACATCTGTCTGATTCCAGTAGCATTTACTGCTTGTTCTGTTCATCTGTTAATAAAGTTAATTAAATCATTTATTGAGCACCTACTATGTGGAAGGCATTGTGCTGATCATAATCCTACATTGCCTCAAAATCTTGTTTATCAGTTGTTCCTCTCTGTATGTGTTGTACATCTTAGTGAATGGAACCATTTGTAGTACATGCATCCTTCCCCCATCTAGCACATCGGAGTTTACAGCTAACTGTCCATGCATTAGTCAATCCACAGCCTGCTAGAGCTCTGCTATAACATGGTAGTGAGTTGAATACATAACTTTAAAAGTTATACATGTCAAGTTATAAAAGCTTGGAAAAATATAAAGTATAAATTTACCTATAATACTGTAATCTTACCATCCAGAGACAACTGCTATTGATATTTTGGTATATTTCATTTTAACATTCTTTTGTCTATCTTTTGTCTATCTAGGATATTTACCTAATTGGATACCTAATCATATGTGCAAAGTTTTATACCACACATTTTCCCTTGCCATTAACAATTTTGAGAATATAATT